GAAAGCAAACCTAGAGTCTGAGCTCAAAAAGATGGAGGTGAGTGGCCATCCTTCAATTTTGCGATATAGTCAGTTGTATGACATACATTATTTGATTGTCATTTTGATGATAAAGATCAATGCTTTTGTTGATTTTACTACTCATCTCGATAACAACATAAGGACATCCGTATCTAATATTTGAGATGGTTTTGTTTGTGATCTTCTTGTATTCTGAACTAAGAAATATTTTCTCAATAAGTTCCCATTTTATTAATCTTCCGCATCTTGTTGTGAGCAGGAACAGTTGGAGAAAAAGAAGGCAATATATACTGAGAAAATGAAAAACAAAATTGCTCTACTCCACAAGGAAGCAGAAGAAAAGAGAGCGATGATTGAAGCTAAACGTGGAGAAGATCTTCTCAAGGCAGAGGAGCTTGCAGCAAAATACCGCGCCACTGGAACTGCTCCAAAGAAAATCCTTGGAATATTTTGAAGCAGCAAGTACCAGGTCTGCATCGATACTGATTGGGAGTTGCATTTTGTAAAGTTTGTGCAATTGGATTTTTTCTTCTTGTTAGATTACATTTGTGTGATTATATATTTTAGAACCATTTATTGTTTATTGTTACGTGTGCATAGTAATGTATTTCCAGTGTATATAGCATCTGGACAAAATTAACTTTGTGGGATTGTTATGGAAAAAAAATATGTTGAAGGAAATCTTCATGTTAGTATACTACTCTTGCTGAAGGACGAAAGCCTCTTTTTTCGCGGTGCCAATTACTACAGAAACTTGCCACTGCAGTAATCATGTTGAAATAAGGCAAGTAATGCAGTGTTGTGTGACTCAGTGAAGTCCGAGCCTTCCAAGGTCTCGATTACTAGGATCAAGTTATTACGAGTCCTACTTGTTTCTCCTGTACATGTTTCTAGTCCTCCATAGGCTTAAAAAGAATGAGGGAGGTCTTGTTAGTTTAAACTAGTTCACTAGATCTTATAAAGAAGTTGAGTGCTTAACAATTACAGGTACACGCCACGATTTCCTCTTCCTCATAGATGGTCATATTTTCTATCAACTCTTTACCTTTATGGTTAGGATTGCAGACTCTATGACACTTGATCATCTGTTATCAACCGGTGGACCGATTGGAGTAACTAAGTTAGTACTTTGTTTCAATTTATAGACTATACAAAGAGTCATTTGTTTTGATGATCATGTCAAAACAGCCAAAAACAAGAACAGAAGAGGAGCTATATGCAGAAAGTAGTGACAGAAACCAAACCTTTAGTGGATTAAGAATATAAAGAGAATCCTTGAATAGCTTAGAATAACTGCAAAGCAATTTGTTTCGAGATATAGTTCAAATTAACTTAATAGTTTCAAACTCTATACAACTATATGTTCAATATTCTGGGCATAGTAATGTCCTTGATCCTAGCAAACTCGAGGAAACTTTTCCAGTGATCCTCGTTGATCCAACTAAGACTTCATGTATACGAGAACTTGTTGACTATCCTGAGCTAGCTTGGAGGAAGTTGAATCCATATACTGTACAAATAGGATAAAAAAAGAAGTGTTTTGACATGTATAAAAGTGTTGAATCCCCTCAACGCGAGAGATCACATGCTTAAATTCCTGGTATGAAAATCCTGGCTCCACCACTTATCCCGAGGGTTGAGACTAATATTTAGGAACCAGTTTCTTCATATCTGAGTTCCAAGACTTCTCTGTGTCATCATCTTTTCTTCCTGTAGAATGGGAGACTATTGATCCAAACCTGAAAATTTTCAATGCTCGACGAATGAAAATGAAGAAAGAGGGGAAGGAAAACATTGCACAAGAGTTTAAAGCATTACAAAATTGAACTTCAAGTATAAAATAAGTCATGAATTGGAAGAAAAGCAATGCATCTTTGCTCTCGTTTAGAGGAAACTTCTATGGAAACTTCCATTTTTTTATACATTTTCATAGAAGAAAAAATCCATATATTTCAATAATTAGACCTACATGTTGTGAATGCGTCTTCTTTTGGCAATCAGGATATACACATTTGAATTTGATAACTTAGTTAAGAGTAACAATCTTTGGAAATCTAAGTTCGAATCTTATTAGATACGACACCAGCCAAGCAAATTGATCTTTTCATTTTGCGCATTTGATGGAAGGTAGAAGGTATCGGATAATTTATATCTTTTTACTAGTGTTGGTACACCATACACATCAACATTTTATTATGCACACTAAAAGTAACACTTTCAAGTCTCAAAAATATGAGATGGTTAGCAAAAAAAGAGAAGAAAAAGGGGGAAGTTAATTGTAGTTTGTTTTTTTAAGTAACATGATGGATGGTATAAAATTCTTTTATGATTTGATGCCTAATAAAAAATTAAAATAAAAGAAAAAAGATAAAAGGGACAATAATACATAAAGCCTGTGTTAAGAAAAAAGAATAAAAGAAAAAGGATAAAGGAGCTAAAAGAATATGTCTTTAACAATAGCTTATTCAGTTCCCTTTACAACAAATTTGCTTGTAAAAAACTAATTCAAAAAATAAGGCATTATAATTTTTTTTTAAAAAAGAATCTTCCTTCAGCTTACCTAAATAACTTCGAAATAAAGTTCGAAATCTCTTCATGTGAATTTTTTTAATTTTTCAGATTCGAATGAGTTTTCTTTTTAATCGAAAACTTTTTATTTATCTTTTAAAAATATTTTGGATTGTCAATTATTAAATTATCAATTATTATGACTTATAATACTTTTTCGTAGTTAACACATATATAATTTTCATTTCAATTTTTTTTGAAGATCTCACGTGCAAGTTTCTAATGTAACTTCACAAAATTTTTTTTACATATAGTCACTCAAAAATAGCTAAATTATTTTTCATTGCTATAGTTTAATAATTATAATTTTTAACTACACGTTATAAGAAGGAGAGAGGCGAGCGAAACTAAAAGGGAGGTGGCAAAAAGTTTGGAGAGAGGTGAACTGTATATATATATCAATTAGATGATTATATATTAGACATATGTATTTGTATATTGTGGTGAATTATAATATATCAACATGATTAACTATACAAACTTGAAGTCAGCACACGTAATTGGTGAATAATATTAATCGTAAATGGTAATTATAATCATCAATCGCTATAATGAATAATTAAATAATATAAATTTACTTAACCATATAATTTTTTCTAACTTAAATTGTTAACTCTTAAAAAATTAAAAAATATTATATAAATTGAAATAGAAAAATATCTTGTCGCCCAAGAGTGCTCCTATCAAGTGTCAAGCCCACCATGGCCCATAAGTGGCAACGCGTTACATGGGCCCCAACTCTTTTTTATTTGGACAAATTTGCAAAATCAAATTGTTTACGGTTATTTCAGTTTAAAAAAGAATAACTTAATTTAATTTAGAATAGAGTTTAAGTAAAAAAAGAATTTTTTTAATTTGGTGATTCTAAATTAAAATTATATCAAATATATCAAAATATTTTTTAATATTTTGATTTTAAACATATCACGTAAAAAATCAAAACAAAAATATTGTCAAAAAAAGAAAAAAGTTATTCTTTTTTAAATAAATTAAAAAGAAAATAGGGACATTCTTTTTTAAACGAAGGGTGTATAATATAAGTGCAAGTGTAAATACAAAGAAGATTGTTGTTTATATATTTTGTTTTTGAATATACTAATTTGTTAAGTATATATAAATTTTTAGTTTATATATTTAAGAATATTTTAAATTTATGTTTGTAATATATAACATGATAATTTACTATGAATTATTTATAAATCGTATACAAATAGCTTGAGTAAGCATATAAAAATTTTAAATTTATACAATTAAAAATCAAATTATACAAATTTTGAATTTATATAATCAAATTTTAGATTTATTCAATTAGAAAACCAAATAGCAAAATTTCATAAAACTATAGCCATATATATATAAAAAAAAAAACTATACCGATATTAAATAATATAATCTAGATGTTTGTCAATTTCGTGTAATTCTCCTATAATGGATCTTTCAGTTCACTTTTTAACGTTTATTATTTTAGAAATAATTTTTTATTTATAACTTTTAATGTTAAAAAAAAAATTATTTTACATTACATTAATTGATTATTATATTAACATATATAAAATTTACGAAAATAATATATTAAGGTGGTTTTACCTCGGTCAACAGCTAATTTCTTAGAGTTGAAATAGTGGTCGCAATTTTCTTCTCAAGTCCATAAAGAAGAAGAAAAATAGTAGAAAAGTAATAGATAACTGTTCAATATTTCTCTGTCCCATAATAAATTAAATCAACTCCATGTTTTAAAATTAAAAAATAAATAAATACTTGATATATATATAAAAAAAGAAAAGAAAATTGAAGCTAAATTAAATAAAACAACTATATTTTATTTTGTTCCTTTTGGATCCTCCTAAAACTTTTTGGCCACCCTAGCTAGTAGCTAGGGACTTGTTTAGCCATTTTTCCTGAACTGCGTATACACAAATACTGATCTTTTTAATCACACAAATATTTATAATTTAATATAATAAATTACAAATTTTTTAAAAATTATACCCCATCAAACTATATTATATAAAGGCATAATATGTAAATATGCCTTTTAACTTGGCTTCAAATTATATCTACGTCCTTCAACTTTGAACGTGCACAAATAGACACTTAAACTTGTATAAAGTTGAACAAATAGATACAGATTTCCTATATGTCATCCTACATGTTATTTTTTGTCCTACGTGGTATCCTACATGTATTGTGTCATGTAGGACTCATATGTTTATTTTATTTAAAAGTTGGATAGTTAAAGTGTTTGTTTGTGCATTACGTAAGTTGGAGGTCAAAGTTAAAATTTAAGGCTAAATTTAAGATTTAATATATGTATTATGCCTTATATAAATTCAAATCAACTATATTATATAAATTCAGACGGAGAAAGTATTGCAATTTTTTGTTTTGCTCCTTTTGGATCCTTGTAAACTTTTTGGCCACCCTAGCTAGGGGGCTTGTTTTTGTACACAACTTTTGATCACATCAAAGAATAACTTCACTCCCAAGTTATGTTTTCCCTTCAATACTCTTTAGTCTTATTTCCTTCCTCCTTCACCATATTAATTGCCAAAAACTTATCTACATTTCTCTCACAATTACTATATCACAAATCAAAGCCAACGAAAAAGATAAAAAAAAAAAGAAGAACTTTCTAGTAGTATTTTGTTATTTAATTAAGGGATGGTGAAGGTGACAATTATAGGGAGGGTCAGTGATGGGATGCCCTTAGCACAAGGTCCAAGATTACATGAAGAGAATAATGATGTTTTAACAACTTACAAGAAACAAGCTGAGTTCATTCTCAAGGAAATTTCATTACAAGCCTTGCCAGATAACAAGATGACCATTCTTGTAGATCACCATTGCTTCAAGTATTCTTTTCTTTCATCTACCTTTTAATTACATCTCATTTCATTTTTGTATGCATGTTTTTTTTCTAAGTTTCCTGTCTAGTGTTCGGTATTTATTATCCCTGATCAATTTTTGTGTAATTTTGTGCACTTTTTTTGACTTATATGACATTTAAATATCTTATACGCGCTTTAATTGCGTAGAGTCACGGAATGTGCCATGTGAGATAAGTTCAAGGAGAAATATGATCTTATTTTAGTTTAAGTGTTCTTTGAGATTTTGGTCATAGTATTGAAAGGTACTTGTGTCTTGCCTCTTTAATTTATAAAAGTAATTTTTAATTTATATATGCTGTAATATTTTGTATCGCACAATATATTAAACGACGAATATTCAACTGACCATCCTTAGTCAACTTTATACCTCAGAGTCTTGACACACTGGTAGAAGTAGACAAGTAGTGCATGAATATGATGTGTGAATTAGACTGATAGTAGAGGGCAAATCCCTTACACATTCAATCGTAAAAGATATGACAAATGAGTTTAACTCAGCCCTAAAAACTCCTTCTTTAGACCAAAAACAATTGCTCAAATTCATATAAGCAGACCATATCGAACCATTCACCGTGTGGGACTCGAACTCACTCTAACACCTATTTAGAATCATGCACTAACAGGCCTGAAGATTTCTCAGTTATTAGAAACTATAATTTCATTTCTCTGTTACCTTTGGTTCTTCAGTTTATTTTGTCACCTTTTGATTTTAGCTATGTTGTAGCTAATTACATTCCACAATTGTGTCTTTATTTTGCTACTCCTAATATTTAGCTACATGGTTGAGAATGGGATTTGCTACCTGACCTTATGCGAATCGTCGTACCCAAGAAAGCTTGCCTTCCATTATCTACAAGATTTGCAGCAGGAGTTTGAAAGATTAGATAGCAGCCTTGTTGACAGGATTACAAAACCATATACCTTCATTAAACTTGGTAATATACTAAATACTCATTATAGTTTAGTACTCCCTCCGTTACAATTGAGTTTGTCGTACTTTCCTTTCTAGTCTGTTTGATAAGATTAAAAGACATTTTGGTACATCCAAAAAGACTTCTTTACTGTCTTAAACTCCGAGCAAAACCAAGCCAGACAAACAAATTGAAACGGAGGGAGTAGTTTATAGGAGTTGCATTAGTTTAAGTACAGAGTATTCCTCTGTTTTAAGCCTAAACTATCTATGTTTAATTGCATCTATTGTTCCTTTTTGCATGATTGGGTTTGTCTTACAGACACTATCATTGGCAACATTAGGAAGCAATATGTGGATACAAGAACACAGGCAAATTTATCTAAACTAAATGCTCATCGTCAAAAGGAGTTAGATATCGCGACAGAGGAATTATCACAAATAACAGAGAGAAGGCGAAGAATAAGTAAGCTTGTCGAATGGTTACTCTAAAATTCTGTTTCATTTTAACTTGAATTATGTCATTATGATTCATTCGATTAAATGTTTGTAGAAATGATGGAACGAATGATGGAGGCTCATATAAGTACTTCTCCTATTTGGGAGTCTAAAAGGCTTGAGGTATTATTTGGTAACATTGGTCTATGATAATCAACACAACTATACAAATAGGTTCTAAATTTACTCGTTGGCATCCAGATGATCGCGCTGAAATGGACACCAATTACAATCCTTCTTGTTGTTGCTTCTGTTCTTCTATGGACTGGCTTAATCCTCCAAGATGATTTTCGATAATGGTGAAGTGAACTTTGGACTTTCTAAAGCCATAGTCAAGAAAGTGGACATAAAAGCAACTAGCAGATTGTTCATATTGTTATTATTGTGATTTGATGCCTCATTCATATATGTCCAGCAGATCGATCGATCACTTCATGCATTGATTCTTAAGTTGTTAACTTATTAGACTACTTTGCACTTGTAGCACCTGTGAAATCAAATAAAAACTATATTCGTCATTTTGTTATCCAGTTTCGTTATGATCAATGCTCAACATGGAAAGATCATCAAGTTTGCAACTTAATTCTCAGTTTCATTATTACAGATGGAATGAATTAGACTTTGTACACCATGAAATACCAGAAAAAGGAGAAGGCATCTACAGTAAAAATGCGCGTTTAACACTAGACCTTTTGCTGATGAAGAAACTAAACAGGTAACCAAACAGTATGGTTCCTACTTTTATTACCTCTTCTATTTTTGTATAAAATTCTAAAAAACAGAACTCATCATATGTACATCACATCGTCGTTAATATTGAACTCCCTTGACATAAACTCCTCAAATCCGTTACCAGACAATGTATCCTCAAACTTGAGTTGTGGTGGGAAAATATCATTGTGAAGAACCTCTTGATTTACGCCATTCCCATCATCGTTGTTCATCGGTAAACTATGCATGAGTATGTCATGTAACTCTGCATTATTATTATACACAAAGTTACTCTTGCAAGGTTCAAAACTGAAACTCCCTGAGTTTTGAAAATCTTGTCCATTAAACTGATCCAACGAAAGCCATTCCGCGAATAATACTTTAGGTAAATTACTCTTTTGAGTCTCTCTTGGATAAACAGATTGATCTGAATCTGCTAATGATCCTTCAATATGTTCAAATGAATCCAAACTTGAATTCTGTGGAGTCAATTTCTTTAAAGAAGGTGAAGAAGAATCTGTTTTCCCAGGCTTAGTGTGCCCTTCATTTTCTCCCATTTTGGACACTCTTTTCTTTAAATACGAGTGCCAGTGATTCTTTATCTCGTTATCCGTTCTTCCAGGTAACTGTTGTGCAATCTGAGACCATCTATTAGAGTAAAAAATTAGTAACTAGATATAACGTTGTTATCAGTGTATATAAATTAAATCGACAATAAAATGTCATGTTACATGTTTTTTATTAGAAAAAAGTCTACCCACTATTGTAACAATATTTGTTAAATGGGCAGCCTAGTAGGTGAATTTTATTGAAAATAAGTAGTATTATTTTGAAGTCAACACCATATAGTAGTACTATTTTTCTAATTTAAAATGGTGTTAGATAGTCAAAGTTGACTACTACCTCTTCGATTTCCAGAAGAGTAATTATACATTATGTTCGATAGAAAAGAATCAATCAATGTATTTCTTGAAAATATACTAATTACAAATAAATTTAATTCGATGGCGTAAAATTTTTTGACTTATAGTAAAATTTAACGGATGTAATTTTTAGTCGTAATATATAAATATGTTCTTTAACTTGGATTTAATTCATATTTATGCCTTTTAGTTTTGTTTACACACAAGTAGAAACTTAAACTTTTATAAAGTTCAAAAAACACAAACATGTGTCCTATGTGACATTCTACATGACAATTTGCGTTTTAAATGGTGTCATATGTGTAACGTATGATTTATTTATCTACTTATTCGATTTTATACAAATCTAAGTGTTTACTCGTGCAGACCCAAAATTGAAGGCATAAATGTAAAATGACGTTAAGTTAAAAGTCACATCTATATATTATGTCTGATATTAATACATTAAACTTTAAATATAAATATCGATAACGCACAAATTGAAATAATTGTTCTTACTTGTTGCCAAACATGGCATGAAGGGTCAATATTATGTCTTCCTCTTCTAAGCTAAATGCCCCTCTCTTTAAGCCAGGCCTTAAATAATTAATCCATCTCAGTCTACAACTCTTTCCATTTCTTTGCAAGCCTGTAGAATTGGCAGTAAATTATATTAACAAAAAATACAAATTCATGTCAACGATTATTATACATATGTAATTAGTATTGAATTTTTCATTTCAATTATATATATATATATAAAAAAATTGTATTGTTTGTTGACTTAAGATTATTGTTCCGAAAATTTATTCGCAAGTAGTGCGCCAAAAATAACGAGAAAATACGCCTCAGCCAATGAACTTGTAGAATTTTTTTTAAAAAAAAATTATTTTAATGTGTTATTATTAAAGACTTTCAAATGTTTTACACATTAAAAAAAGGGACAACTTTTTTATTCTTTTATATAAGTACACTCGTCAACTAGACAATGGTACGTTGTATATTTGGCAATTTGATCACAGCTAAAATATTGAAGTCATCTATAGTAAAAGGCTCAAAAAAGAAAAAATCAATATTTTTGCATTTGAAAATTTTCACTAAAAAATATTCATTGCTATTTTTATATATTCTATCATTGAATCGAAAAGGGAAAAAAAATCAGTAATGTTTTTATATATAGAAATTAAAGTTTTTTTTCAACATTTCAATAAGAATCTTTTTTTAATTGTGTGTTGACCAAATGAGCTATCGATGAAAAACGAGTGAAAAATTACTAGCACTTTATATAGTATAAAAAACCTATATGTCTAACCATGATTAGACAAAAAGGATTAATTAACACTATAAATCATGGTAATTAATGCTGACATTACCAATCCTCAAAAACATGACATATATTGTTATCATTGACATGGATGTAATTAATAAATATAACTATCTTTCTATTTCATATAATGATAAACATAAAAATATGTCAGTATATGTAACTTAAATTCTTGAAACGTTTCAACCTCTAGAACATAGCACATTTGAATTTGGTAAAGATGGAAAACTAAAAAGATGTGTCAATCTACTATGAAAATTATAAGATATAATTACACTAGTTGAATTAGAGATGAAGAAAGATTAAAGTATTAATTAAACTAACCAGCATTAATGGGAACAGAGCTCCAACATCCATGACCATGCTTAATCATATAATTTTTGAGCCTATCATCTTCATCAGGAGACCATAATCCCTTCTTGTGTTTTTGTTTTGGCTTCTCAGCTGCCAATTTGCACCCCATTATTAATTAATTATCAAACTAATTGAGGATTAATGAATGATTAAGAAAGAACACAAAGATTATATGTTAATGACTTTTGTCTTTGTGTAGAGAGAAAGAGAGAGGAGACAAAGGAAGACTTGATGTTGAGGTTAGCCGACCTTGTATTTAAAGGAAGGATTAGTTCACACCAAATTCTACTAATTATGATTAATAAAAACAAAACTAGTTAATGAAGAAGTTTTTAAAAAGAGAATATTTCACTATTTTACAATAAATAAAGGATGGTGCGACAATTATTTAGTGACAATAATATGATTGTTGCTATAGTTTATTTAGCAGCAGTAATTATATAATATTACTTTATATAAATATTGCTAAAGATTTTAACAACTCTAAATGTAGAGTCTGTTTGACATTGCTATTAAGAGGCTTAAAGTGTGGCTTTTTTGCTTAAAAAATTTCTTTTAAATTGAAGTAGAAACAATTTATTTGTTGTGTGGAAAAAGCTAAAAGATTTTGTTTCTTAAGAAAAGGAGAAACCATCATTTTTTAAAATTTAAAATATCTCTTTCATATAAATATATTTATCAATATAGTCATTATTAATTAATTAGCATATTTCATAAGTTTGATTAACTTTTATTCAAGAATTTATTTTTTATTTTTTTATGTTTATAATTATTATTTTATATTTAATATTTTTATATTATTTTACGTTTAATTTTACCCTATTAGAAACAAAGGTAATGATAATATTTTTGTAGGTTTAAATATATGAAGGACTTTATTTATTTTTGTGGTAATTTTTTTGTAGGTAGTAAGTAGTTTAATTTGTTCAATGATTTTTAAATTTATTTTGCTTAATATTTTTAATTATATGTAAATCATTATATTAATATTTTATTTAATTAATTTATATATATATATGTATGTATGTATAACTTGATTGAAAATTTAAATATGTATATATTTTATTTAAAATAAAATTTTCATTAAATTCTTTTGTAATAAATGTTTTAAATAGTTTCCTCTATTGTACATTGATACTTATCTTTCAATTTGACACTTAAAACTGAGAGGCTAAAGTGCTTCTTTTTTTTAAAATAAAAAAAAAAGTAGAGTGCTTGGTCAATCCTTAAAATTTCTTTTAAATTGAAGCAGAAACAATTTTTTTGTTGTGTAGAAGAAGCCAAAATATTTATGCTTCTTAAAAAAGGAGAACAATTGTTTTCTTAAGACTAAAATATCTCTTCCATATATACACATTTATCAATATAGCCATTATTAAGTAATTAGCATATCTCAAAGTTTGGTTAACTTTTATTCAACAATTTATTTTTTATTTTTATATATAGTTTTTTCAAAAACTTTAAGTTTTTATGTTATTATATTATATTTTATATATGTATGTATAATATTGATTGAAAAATTAAAAAATGTTTATTTTAATTTAATTAAAATAAATTTTTCATTAAATTCTTTTGTAATAGATGTTTTAAATAGTTTCTTCTATAAAATTATCTTAATAATAAGAGTACATTGATACTTACTATTTTTCGTAATTTGATTCTTAAAAATATTTTTTTAAAAATTGATCAAATACAATTTGTTTATCAAAAACACTTTTCAAAAGAATTAGCTAAACACAAATAACTTATTATTAAAAGCATTTAAAAAAAAATCATTTTAAAGTATTTTTAAAAATAAGCAATTTTAACAGTAATGTCAAACAAACTCTTTTTAACTCAATTTCTGTTAGAATAATGTATTTGCAACCTCTATTTCTATGATCCCTAGCCCCATATATATGCAATAAATTCCTCAACAAAAGGTAAGTGAAAATGAAAAATGAAATAAAGCACAATTAGCATCATCTTGCTAATTGGCTTATATATATTGTTAATAATTGTATAATCAATAGAATAATTGTCCATCTCAAGGAATTTTGAGAAGCTAGCCTAGCACTAATAGAGACAAATGAGTCATTAGCTATAGTGAATCTTGTGTCATTTATCATGCTTAAACCTACTTGATAGACACCAATAACGATTTCTTAAGATCTACTCAAAACACTTTATTGAATCACCACATTATTAATATATATATATGTATTTGAGTATTCACCGACAGGTTAATTAAGATTT